CGTTTCCAACCGTTTTTTACCGCGAAAAAATGGAGCAAAAACAAGTTTCGCTGTTTTTTCCCCGCTGGGTTTTAGCAAAATTTCAAAAGCCTCCCGAGGAAAAAAAAAAAAAAGGGAAACGCAAAGTTTTTTCTGAAAAAAAAATTGTCCCTTGCCACGGTGGGCCACCCCAAAAAAAAAACCCACCAAAACCCAATTTTGGGGAGGTTCAAAGGGGCAACAAACTGTTTCAAGTTTTAAATCAACATTTAAGGAGATTGGCTTTTATTGGGTCCCGGGGGAGGAAAAAAAAAAAAACTGTTTTCCCGTTTTCTTTTTTTACCTTTCAAAAGGGTGCTCAACAAAAAGGACATTTAAAATAAAATAAACAATAATAAAATAAAATTTAAAATTTAAGGTTGTTATTATTTACATTAAATCTAAAAAAAAAAACCCAAACAAAATATATTAGGTAGGGGAAAAAAATAAGAAAAAAAAAATTTTCAAAATAAAAAAAAAAAAAAACAAAATTAAAAAAAATAAATTATTTTAGGGGATATATATGGGGGCCAAAGTAATGTTACATTTTATTTAAAAAAAATTACAGTATTATTAGGAAAAGGATAGGAAAAAATATTGGCATTTTTTGCTAACAGTTTTATTGACAGGAAAAAAGTGGGTAAATGGAATAAATGAATAAAATAAAGTTAAAATAATTAGGCTGAAATCCTTAAAAAAAAAAAAAAAAATTGCAGTTTTTTTTTACTGGGTTAGGGGGACAGAGATTAAAAAAAAAAAAAAACAAGGAGTATTTTTGCACCCTTTAAAACCAACAAGTAAAAAAATTTTTCCAGGGGCCAGGTTTAATGGACACTTGGGACTCTTTTGAGTGTCTGACACCTCTGAAAGGGGAAGGGGAGGAGGTTGAAAAAAAAAAAGGTTTTGAATGAACCAAGGGAAAACCAAAGGGGGGGAAATTTGGACTTCCAAGTGGCGCTCTGGGTGGGGAATTTGGACCCCTTGCACTTGGAAAAAAGTTTTTTTAAAAACTCGTTGTTTTTGAAAACCCAGGGCTCCTTGGTGCAAAAGTTTTGTGGGAGGACAATTGTCCAAAAAAAATGACACGGTTGGCGTGGAACCAAAGCATCCTTCCCTCTCTTTGACAACTTGGGCTGTCCAAAAAGAGGTCCAGGCCTTTCCCAAGCCCACCAATTTTTGTCACTGGGGCCTTGCAAAGCTCTTCAAGGAAATAGGGGGGAAGAAACGGGGCTCTGGGCCTTTCCTTGTAAAAAAAAGGGGGGCTTGGAGTTGGGTTGAAATGGTTAATTGGAAATTCTTTTTGGAGTTGAAAAAGGGGAAAAAAAGGGAAAAAAAAAAACCAGAAGGCTGGCCATTTTATATTTACAGTAAAAATCAAAAATTAACTTGATCCCAAAATTGTTGATCAACTTGATTTGGGACTATTTAACACTTTTTATAAATCTTTGAAAAAACCTTAAAAAAAAGGGGGGGAAAAAAAAAAAAAAACCCCCAAATTACCTTAGGTAAATTCCTTCTCGAGGACCTGGGGGTCCGTTTGAGTCTTAAATTATCTATTCTGGGGGTCCTTGAAACCCCTGTGCTATACTTTATGTGCTACCAAAGAATACAGTAATATAACCTTTACATTCACAACTACATTTCTACACACTGACGGACACCAAACAATAAAGATTGCTACATATTAGTTTATTTCATCCAGCTCCTCCAATCAGCAATTACAGGTGTACATTAATTTATTCAGACATTTCCAGTTGAATCTTAAAACTTTTTCATTAAATGTGATAAAAATGTACATCATATATAGCATCAATATGAAAATACTGACAATCTTCATTACAAATCTATACCATAGGATTTTTCTGGCAAGCAAAAATCATTGCTCGATCACTTAAAAAAAAAAAAATCTGACACAAAGCAAAACATGTAGCCTGTTTTGAGGTTGTGCTAATACAACTGTTTCTCTCCCACGAAATAATATTGATAATTCACAGTATGGAAAAAAAATAATAGTGTCTTGCACAGATTCTCCTGTTGCTTTAGCCAGAACAGTAAAATCACTGACTTAAAAAAAAAAAGTCATCTCCTACAGGGAAATAACATCTACCATAAGATTTATGACCAAAACAACAATCATGAATAAACAAAAACATATCAGTTATAAAAATAAAGTCATAAAATGTGTACAAAGAAAGAAAATATGCAGACGCATGATTAGAGAATAAATAACAATGTCGCTGTGGTTACAATCCCAGTGTCCTGTGGTAAAGTTAGAAATAAAGAAAATAAATTAACATTGATTTTCTAAAAGTCTTCCATTCAGAGTACCATTCATTACTGTTTAACGTTGGGAACGAAAGAAGACAGAATCCCACCAGCACTCGGTGTACCATAAAAGGCCAAAAAGACAGTACCTCAGAAACAGCTTGAAATACGATAGTGGACGCATGTACGTGACCTGTGTGTTGGTTTCCAGTCATAGATATTCACTGTCTGATAGGCTCATCAGATATTCAAACAATAAACAGAACTAGAAATGATGAACATTAGCGTGATGGTGATCTGTATGAATGGACTGTGTAAGTGCACACAGGTTCAGATGAAGCCAATGAACATTATATTACTGAGTGTCCCTGTGTGTGTGTGTGAACCATGTTTCTGTAAGTGGGATAAAAATCCATGCTGAAGTCTATCTTATCACTTTCAACAGGAGACCAAATGCTAAAAATCAATAAGGGAAATAATAAAGCGTCTGCTCTCACTTCAGGGAGGGAGTTAGCGGCAGCATGTAAGGTAAGTGGATATATTCTTCTAATAAATGGTATGGATCCGCTTTAAGAACAGGAACTAAAGCTGTGCCACAATTACTTCTTTTCTGGAAAAGTTTTAAATGGATGTGATCAAAAACACACATTTCTGTGTGATTTCATCAGCAAATTAATTGGAGTTAGATGCAAAAATCCTGCAAATACAATTTAAAGCTGCACTCTGAAAAATTTTTCACTCACTTCAGATCAACTCCACTACTGAAGAATTCTGTAAGGCAATTGTATTAATCAAGCCTTAAATCTCAAATTAGCCTCAGAGAGCCTGGCAGCTGTAAAAATAGGTATTAAAAAATGTTTCAGAGTGCAGCTTTAAAAACAAAATACAAGGACTTCTGAAGAATTTTTAATGATCCCCTCCAGACATATATTACAGCATATACAAATAGTCTGCTTGGAACAATAATGTGTGTCTGATAAGTTTTTTCCACAAAAAAAGTATAATTTCCTTTCTACCTCATTAAATATTCCAGAATCTATGAATATGCTAATAATGATAATTTAAATTTTTAAGATGTCTCCTTCTTCACTGTAAAGTCCA